TTTAAATATATTTGTAGCTTCTTTCTACATCAATATTGCATGTAACCCTGAGCCGTGAAGCCTGTGATGTCCTTCCTTAGTCCCTTTCCCGCTGCAGCTGCCTTTAGTACTGGAAATCTGCCTTCTTAAGTGGGGAAAAACACAAAATCTAATAGAATTGTGATGGAGTTCAATGTTTGGCACTTTCCATTATCAGGCAGAGGGAACAGTGTTTGAGGTGAAGGAAAGATGTTTCAGCAAATGTGTTTCACGTCTGGGTTAGCTAAAAGTTGTGCCTACTAACTTCCAGTTCCTCTGCTGACACGTGATAACTTAGCAAGTTGGCACTGCTGAGAGGCTTTCTTCCTCCTGTCTTTGCAGCAGTGCTTACTGTAGGTCTTTCTGTATGTTTCAGATACACTTTTAAACTGATGGTTGACAAAGCAAGCTTGGGGCCAGTTGAGAACTTCAAAGAACTAGTTAACTATCTGGAAGAATACGAAAATGATTGGTACATCGGGCTGGTATCGGATCTTGAGTGGCAGCAAGCAGTTCTTCAGGAAAAGCCATACCTTTTTTCGCTGGGACATGATCCAAACATGGTAAGAAGAAAAATTACTGATTAGCAATGTCAAGGTTTGGTTTCCTTTCCACTGTTTTTTTGTTTTTCCTTCCCCCATTGTTGTGTTCCAAAACATGAAGCTGTGCTACCAAATTTGTGTTTGTACTAAACAGAAATTGACATCACCGTTGTTGGAAATAACAAGGCATTGTCAGATGCAATAAAATTTGCTGATTGTGTTCCAAGATGGAAGAATTGAATCAGGGAGACCAGTTTACACAGCTTGCTACTTCAGAGGGCTGGTGTTCGTAGCATGTGAAGTCCCAAAGCTGCTTGTAGTGCTTTGTAACTAAAGCATTGTGTGTCTTTTTTCAGCATGTACTGAACGTTTTGATCTGTTTGTTTTTGAAGGGAATTTACACTGGGCGAGTCCTCACTCTCCAGGAATTGTTAGTACAAGTGGGAAAACTGAACAGTGAAGCTATCCGGGGTCAGTGGGCAAATTTGTCCTGGGAGCTGCTGTATGCTACGAATGATGATGAAGAGCGCTACAGCATCCAGGCACACCCAGTTCTTCTGAGAAACCTTACTGTGCAAGCTGCAGACCCACCTCTTGGCTACCCCGTTTATTCATCTGAGTTTCTGCATCTGCCTTTGTTCTAGATTCTCTGTAGCACTTTGTAGTAGTATTATTGTTTTGTATTTTCCATCTGCGTGTTGGAAAACATGCTCATGCTACGTTTATACGCTAGAAGTAAGAGTTTACTCTCGTAATGGCGTTGGGTGGCAGTGCCAAGCCAGCGTCCACAATTTGCACAGAAATGGTGCTAGCCAGAACCTTCGGCAGGCAGGACATTGCGAGTGGTTTTCTTGCTGCTGGAACATTTGAGACACCATTGCCTGTGTGGCTGACGAGCCAGGAAATGCTGAAATTCTCTTCTCTGGGTTAGAGGAGAGCAGCATGATTCTGATCATTAACTATTTTTGGTGCATTCTGATTTTTTTTTTTTCTTTTTAATAGTTGGACAGGTGACTTGCGCTGCCAAGTTACAGCTCATTGTAGAACCGTCAACCACAGAGTTGGTAACCAAAGTGTATATATGACTATTTATATGAATTTTTTTATTCTGGCCATTTTATATGGGACCGAGTTCAGTTTTAGCATTTGTTATAATATGTATGACTTTAGGTGATCCTCGTTAGCTCTAGTAACTTATCAGTTATGTGCTTTAGCAAGAAGTTGGGAGGATTTTTACCAAGTGCTTGTTCTGGGGTCAAAGACAATTTGTATAAAACAGTGTGCAGCCTGACACATTGATAACCCCTGTGACCTACTGATGAACCTGAACATGTCTCATTAGGGGGGAGAAGAAATTTAAGTCCAAATGGATTGATTTTATTTCCTTCCTCCAGTATCCATATATATTTATATATATACAAGTTGTTGTGTGTAACCCGTGTCCATACCACTATCCAGTCTTCCACGAAAACAGCTTGATGATTGAGGGTGGAGGGGTGGGAGGAGAGGAACCCAGCTGTCTTTGAGAGAACTTTTATTTTTTTAACCTTTGCAAAGGTTAGAACAGAGTTTGGCAGTTGGTTTGCAGTGTTACAGGTCTCCTTGAAAACAGGTTTGGGTCATCTCTCCAGCGATGTTTCTCCTGATCACTCCCACCCGCCATTAGCACGTGAGTGTACTTTCTCTGTAGGTCAGTAGTTACTGTGTAGTTACTGCTGGTGTATGCGCAGCAGGATGTAAATAATTGTCTGTCTTTAACTAGGATCAATTTCACAGAGATCTGCTCTGTAATAGTTTTGGTATTGGTTTATAAAACCCAGTCCTGTTTAATTGGAGCATATTTATTACTTCTACACCTCACCTTTAAGACCTTTTGCTATTGGATAAAATTTGTCACAGGACTGTGTGCTACATGCCAAGCTGTTAACTGATTGTTTTGATTGGTGCCCTTAAATTACTTTAAAGAAATATGCCAACCTTGGAATGGAATTCAGAAGTGGTAACGAAATAAACATCAGACCGCAGGGTAGAGCCCTCTAACAGCACATAAAAATTCACACAGAGTATTAGTGGAATCCGCTTTTAGAAAGTGATTGGTGTGCAGGAGCATAAATAGCCAAGTGCTGATAACCTGAAAAAATCCTTGGTTGGCCACAAACTGTATCCGGAAATGCAGAATTGTGGAAACAGATCTGGAAGGGGCTTTCAGAGAGCTCATGCTTCAGCTCGCTGTCAAAAGGAACTACTCCTGGCAAATGTATAATCCAACTTAAAATTTAGTATCAAGTATAGCATGAGTTTATCAAGTAGTTCACTACAGTTCTTTGCTGTTTTTGCAACGGTTGGAGAGGGTTTGTCTTTTTTTTTTCCCCCCTAAAATTAATTTAAAGCTCCCTGCCTTGTTGTACACCTCCTACCGACTTTGTCTTCTGTGTGGTTACAGAAATTTTAATTACTTTTTTTTTCAGCAGCAGCAGTCTGTTATTTGATGGTTATAATTTCTGCCCTCATTTTTTGTCTTCTGTAAACCAAATAAACTAGTTGAGAACTGAGACTGAAGAGAGCTGTGATCATTTTCTCTTGCTGTCCTCCAGTTCTCTCCATCTGGTACCCAGCCTTTCACAAAGCGGTGCTGGTAACTGGCCCTGGTATTCCAGCCGAGATCTCGATTGGTACCAGATGGAGGAATAGAATTACTTACGTGCAGAATTCCTGTTTATGGACGGGAATATAAAGCTAGGCTCTAATGCATTGTAACATCCTGTCCCCTGCTATTGCAGGCAGCGTGTTCTGCAGCCCCTTATTCAGTAGTACACTGAGCCAATTCACACATTTCAGGCTGTTTTGCAACAGTATGACCCTGATTCATGTTATGATTTTCTAACCCTCTTCAGATTTGTTTTTGGCAGAACTACAAGTTACAGCCTCTTGTTCTGTACCAAATTTATGCAACTGCTGCCTGCCTCTGTTAAGTGTGTTATTTTGTGTGCACGTTCCTCGAACTGTCCCATTTGTTTTGGAGCATTTCTTTGATTTATCAAGAACTTACGGCACCTGCAAGTCTGGCGGTGTCTGCAGCTCTCACAAGCTTGTACGCTGTTACTCACAGCACTGATGGCGTACTACTGGATGGAGTATCTGGTGCTGAGCTTCTGACAGGCCACCACACCATTTTCCTGCTGTACCATTTTAACCAGGTGTGCATCAGCTGTGCTGACATTCTTACCAAAACCTACCTGCTTTATGGATTGTGACCTTCATCACGCAAGGTAAGCGTAAGACACCTTTACTGGGGCTTTGATAAAGAATCTTTAAAACTGATCTAATTAAAGCAATTTTCTAGCAAATGTCAGTGCTTACTGGAGGATCTCTACCCTTCTGATCCAAACAAGATTTTTTTTCTAGCCTTCACAAAAAACATTAAGTCCTGGAGACTGCTTCAGTCCCATTTACATTGCCATGAAGCAACGGGAATCAGTTTAATGGAGTGAAATGAACCTTCTGTTCTCCCAGAACCGCATGAGGAAAGGCACTTGTCATTTGATCAGTCATCTTTTTTCTAGACAGTATTTCCATCTTTGTTAAATGTCATGGGAAAAATGTCACTTTTGACTTAAGCGCTGCTACACTTGGTAAGTTTCAGTAATTTATAACTGGGTTGTTAGGGTTTTATTAGTGCTGAATGAGATATCACGAAGTAGGATTGTTTTTTTACCTGCACAGTTTGTGGGTAGAGGTGCATCAAAACATTACTGGGGCCTTTGTCAACAGCAGGAAGGTCGCCAAGCTTGTAAACACCCACAGGTGACCACTACAGAGAGGTACTTTTAGCTAACAGTTGAACTGGATTTTAACTGGCTGGTGTAAGTATTAAAAAGTGGTCATCGGTTGTCTACTGTTGTTGCAAGGTTTAGTGCAAAGCTGAGCACTACCTAGGACAGGTTACAAGCACACCATCGTGCTCTGGTCCTTCCTCCCTGCTTCTCTACACTGCCCACTTCTCAGACCCAACAACCAGCACATTGAGGTTTGTGGACTCTGAAGTGGTCCTCAGAAATGCAGTTAGAAACCTAAAGATCAAGTGACAGAAGTTCAGGAATGTAGCCCCCCAAACACCTGATAACACACACCTTGCTCAGACCAACTGTACAGTAGCCTTGCGGCTGGTGGCAAAGATCAAATATCATTTTTTCCCAGACACTGCCTTGATCCTTTATCACAAGCTTCTACTTGTTTGTTTTTTGTTTTGGTTTGTTTTGGTTTTTTGTTTGCTTGTTTTGCTCAAGGTCCATTAGGTATGAACATGAGGGAAACGGGATCCTGTGGGTAAGTGATTTGTAGCCTGCTCACCAAGTATTTGTTAGTATCACAGCAGCAGAAAAACAAAATTCCTAGCCCCTGTCTCAATTTCTGTAAGCTTAAAATAATAAAAACCAGGTATGTTTGGAAAGTGATTTTTATTTCACCAAGTGCGTATACAGCTTGATAGATTTGTCAAGTTATATGACGACAAAGGTACAACAGATTAAAAAAAAAAAGGTTTTGCTTGCAGTCAGGCAATACGAAAAAAGTTTCTCTCTGCGTTAGCACAAGTACAGCAGGATTTTGCCCGTTTCTCCTTACTTTGTTTTTCTCGAGTAAGAGGCATCAGCATCCTGGAGTGAGAATTTATTCAGTCAGTATTTCCTCTCCCTGCCCTCTACTGCACTGGAGTCCTTCACCCAGTGTTACTTTTCTCATAACTGCCCGCTGTCAGAGACTAGTTCAATGTGAAGGTAGGAAGTTGCACGTGTTCCATTTTTTGATTCTGGAGTACTTTAACATGGTACAACAGCACAGTGAGGAGAACGCCAAGCAGCACTGTGAGAACAAACCACGCTGCACGGCTGTCTTCTGGGAGGTGAATGAGGGGGAAGAGACGTGACAGGCAGTGGTGCTGCCTGACGTACTTTGGGGAGGCGCTCAGATTACACGCCCGACATAAAAACTAGACAGACCTAGGGGAGAGCCTGTCAACAGTCTTAATTTCAACCTGCATTAAATAATTCAGGCCGTTGACTTACAGCTCAGCTCTGCATTAATGCTGAATTCTCAGCTCGTGGCCGGTGTGATAAAGATCAGAGGGAAGACCTTTGGCACTGCAAGATGTACTGGCTGCTGCGCTGCGCTGCGACGGCGCTGCAGTAATTCTAGACTACGAGGCGTGCAGCTACGGGGTCTAGCCTGGCATCAGCTGCTAGGAATGTGAGGAGGAGGAAAAGAAATGGATCCAAAACTGCAGCCCCAACATTCCTGCAGCTAAAGAGGCTGTCAGCAGGGTAAAGAAACGCAAGTAAGGGGAGGAGATAGGAATAAACTTACCACACCACTCTTGAAGTTTTGTATTCTCCTCTTGCCCATTCTGTTCATCAGCCACCACGCCCAAGTGGGCGCGTACTGCCAGAGGTAGCAGACGGCCAGGTAGGGGTGGTCACTGATCCAGGCTTCCTTCAGGTCGTTGGCTGTGCTCACCAGCGTGAGCCGGACACAGCGGTCGGTTGGCATCTTGTGGGACTGGTCACCGCTGTTCTCCAGTGACTGGAGGAGGCAGAGAGAGGGCAGGGAGTAAAATGAGGCTTCTGTTTGTGGAGGATGGGGGGGGTGAGGAAGGGCCAGGCTTTGCACAGCAGACACAGTTGGAGTTTCTCCACAGTGCAAAAGTTGAGTAAGCGTGAGAATGCTTACCACCTTCCTTTAACACACACGCTTCAATAAAGCACCTCTAAATTAGTGTCTTGACTGATGACTTAAAGTTTAAAAAAAAGACAACCTTCAAAATCTATTCTGCTTTGCACTGACTTATACTTCAAATTAGATGTATCAGCAAGTTACCCATTCTGCAGCAGAGGGCTCTGAGAAATGTGAACTTTCCTCTTCCCAGCTGTCTGCCCCATTATACTTTAGAAGTTACTCTGTAATCAAATGAGTACCTGAGGACATGTCCCCCATTAACTTAATATTCCTGCCAGCTCTGCCCTATGCAGTTAGCTCAAGAGAAGAGCAAGAGGCTTTTTCAGTGGCAGTGATGTCTTGTCCATATGTAGTCCATAGTAAAATAAGCCACAGCCCTGTGAATTGATGTGCGTTTCACTCCAGCAATAACAGACTGCTCTGTCATCTGTTCTGCTATTTCCCAGAGCAAAAGCAATTATGGCCTAGATTCCGCCTTCGTCCTAGGCCTTTTGCCATGCTGAAATCTGAGGAATTTGTTTTTGCAAGATTTCCAGATTGCTGAAAAAGTACATCTTTGTGAAAGTATGCAGCTTCGCAAGACAACATTTCTTTCAGAACTCCATTGAACAATGGGAGACTTTTCCTCCCCTTTTACTACTGGGTTCTTCTGATCTTCAGATCAATTGACTTTATGGCAGTTTATCAATATGTATCACAGTAATAATTTCTGCCAGCTCTTCTGTTAGACAGCCTTTACTAAAAACTGAACTACTAACAGGAAAAGAATGCAAGCCTCGCCTCAGCTGACTCCAGTGGCTCTGCCAACAACTGCACCAAAGTCAACCGAACAGAGGACATCGTGACTAGGGCAAACAAAAAGCTACCTGTGCAGACACAACGCTGTTCGGCGCTGTAGAGTTGTGTCTAGGAAATCTTGACCCTTCCCCCAGAATTGCAGCAGGGCAGCCATATGGTAAATTTTACTAGCTGGACTGTATATGTTGGAAGAGAGAAGGCATAACTCCCCAACTTCATTTGATATAGACGTGATACCACAAAGCACTACACAACAACACAGGGTTCTGCATTAATCAAAGCATTTCTTGGTGAGGAGATGAGGCTTGTGTTTGCGAGAAGGAGCAAAAGAAAAGGAAACCACAAAAGGATGGCTGTAGCCAAAAGTTGGCTTTAGCACAATAGAATTCAGAGTCCTTACCTTTGCAAGATTCTCCGTAAAGACATTTTGTATAATCTTAGACTGTACAGGTCCTGGGCAGATGTTGATAATACTTATCTCAGGGTAGTCAGTCAGCTCAGTCCGAAGAGAATTAAAAAAGCCCTAGAAGAAAAGGCTGTAATGTGATCATCTGCTGCGTTTCCCCATGTAGAAAGATATCGCTATCTACAGATTTTAATTCTATTTCTCTGCCATAAAGACAGCAGTATTCTACTGAAAGCAATTCCTATTATTTTGACATTCAATGGGTAATTTACAATTTTGTCTGCAATTATGTCTATCAGGGAGGAATCTTATCCCCAACTTCCCAAACACACAGTTATTTCTCTACATCGCAGCCAGCCTCTGCTGTTCCCATACCAAGGGCCAGCCCCTCTCTGAGCCCCGTGGGGCTCCTCACTGGGGGTGCAGCACATCGTTAGCTCCTGCTGCAAGTAGCTTGGACACAAGTGCTCATCCCTGCTGAGCAAGAACTGCAATATTGGGGAAATTATTTTTTGCTGGTCAATTACTCTTTGTGGTGAGATGAAAGCTTTTAAAGTGTTTCCATTAGGTGGTGTATATATAAAAGAGAAAGAGGAAGAAGCTTTCATAATATCAAGTCAAAGGAGCAACCTGGTATTTTAAGGGGGTACTTCCACACCACTGAATACACTTCCAGTGCTAAATTTGCATCCACATAGACAAAACCTTTTTTCAGCTCAAGGATATGCTAAGTTAAACTGCAATTACAAAAGCTGCAAGTATTTATTTTCCTTAAACTACCAGGATACAAATTTTCTCAATGTCTAGCGATCCATGTATAGGCAGCAGCTGTGACGGGGAACAAGACCAATTCAGGAATGCGCCACCTACCAAAGTTGCTGCTCAAGCACTACTGAGCTACGATTTAGCAAACAACATACCGTGGCTTATCTTCGATCTGGCTAGCAGCAGTTCCTTGTATTTATTCTAGCACATAATTTTGTGTCACAACAGAGACAGAAGGCCAGCACAGGCTGATAAACTGCCGCTGCAGTACAGATTTATGATTTGGCCGGCCCAGAGCTCTTCACTAAATTGCAATATAGGACTAGCATCAGTCAGCCCGCTCCTGCGATGACATGGAAGAGGACAACGGGGACAACCAGTACAGCTAGGCAACGAGCTCCGTGCCTGTGCACACTTCCAACCAAGAAAGGACCGTGGGCTCTGACTTCCCAATTGCTGGTGGCTAATTTCAGCTTGCAGATTGCATTCAGGCTCTGCAGCAACAGTCTGTAAAAACACCGACCATGTCTTTAAACTTTTAAGTACCCAGGCCCATCTCTGGGTCTTGTCAGCTTAGGAACCCAATCCTGAAAGATTGGGAAAGGCTGAAATGACTTCTAATAGGACAAAAATGTACTTCAGAAATTCCCCTAGCAATCAGAGGCTGAACAAAGACAGTGGCAGCTGCTGCTCAGTGCAGTCCATGTGCCTATTAGACAAGTTCCTGATTAAGGAACATTTTGAAGATCACCATTTCCGACCCACTCCACATGCCACCAATTATATGAATTACAGCTAGATGAACAGTGTATGATCTCCACGAGCATCGTCACACCAGGAGAGAAACTGCAACTGTCAGACGCAGCCTCCTGTGGACGCAACTCATGCTCTTGCAGCTCTCCTTGCAGAACTAAGTAAAGGGTAATTTCATTAGTACAATGTTGTTATGAAGAATTCCAGTTGGCAGGACTCGAGGCATGCTTGTTTCAAGAACAAAGTTTAATTCTTAACAGAATTCCTTCCATCCTTCCCCCTCCAACTGCAGCATTAACTGTGTCAGCTGTGGTAGACTTCAAGGCGTGAATTTTAAAAACCACTAATAGATGAATTCGTGGCAGATGGGGACATACATTTAATAACCAGTGGCTAAAATACTGATCTGCAGTTCAAGAAGACCCTAGGTTAACACATGCTGGGAAGACAACATGAAAAGCATCGCTTTATGCTGTGCTATTTTTCCCCAACTTCTCTAGTCATTTCTTCTTGGTCATCATCAGAGATGGGCTACTCGGCTACCTGCAGAGGACGGCTGTTCTGACAGGCTTCCTTTATGTGAAGTGCACTGGTGAAGTCTGGTATCTCAAAAAAGCTTTAATATTTTGCGGGGGTTCACGCCCACACCTAGCCCTAACGCTAGACTGCTAACTGTAAGACACTCTCAGACTAAGCCTGTATTTGCAATTTAGATTTCAAAATCTGTGTTGCAAATCACATTTTAACCCTTGGAATCAGTATTTACAGGATTACTGTGAAAGAAACAAGAAAGGTGTTCTGGAGCCTGGACTGGTTATTGAGCAGAGGCAGAAGATAACAAAGGTATGAGCAGTTCAGTTAGTTTCTTTTTAACTAATCCTGACATTTTAGTGAACTATTTCTTTTAAGCTTCTTCCACATTCTCAATCCTAACATGAAATTCAACGTTCTGTGAATTTTTAAAGCAACACCTGAATTCCTCTGCAACTAATTAGTGCTTATTCCAACAGCACCACAGCCAAGAGATAATTCAACTGAAAGAACGCTTAAAAATAAAGGAGCATAAATAGAGCCCACACTTCTGCTCATTGCATCCTTCTAATTTAAATCTACTAGACCTAAATCAAAGGCTGGCTGGCTTCTAATGGGCAATTTCATTGCAGCCACCTAAATGAAGGGTAGCAGCTCTCTCCCTGTCATTAACGGAAAATTTTCTGTTAGCAGAGACCTGCCACAGTCTTTTACATCTTCATTCTTTCAAGCATCTAATGGCTTTGCAGTGTCAGCCACTAGTTACATGTTTGTTGTTAGTCAAATTGTCAAAAAGATATTGATCCAATAGGTTTAGCAAAGTTATTTACTCTGCTCACGTGCTTAAAGCCAGCAGGGAGTAGGAACGTGCCAGTTTTTGTTTTTAAAATCATCCCTGAGCACAGCTGAAGTTTAGCTTACTGAGATCAAAACGTACATTAGCGGGAAGTCAAACAGTGGTGAAAGACAAATATGTCTAAATAAATTTGCTAGTTAAACAACTGATTCCGCAATGATAAAGGCAGTCTTTTTTTCCCCCCAGACACTTTTCTCAACTGTTATGTTTTTCTGCATGAGAGAAATGGCTTTCAAAAATCTTTCCAACCAATACTGAAAATTCTGTGTTATGCAGAAGATAATGTCTGCCTTCCTAAGGCACTAGGAGCTGCCAGTTCTTCACAGCACAGCAACATTCAAAACTGTTGGGGAGGTTCTTTCAGAGCTTCCTAGCTAGAACAGGAGGCCTCATTCCTCATTAGTCTGCTTTCCCAATCACTGTTCTCACTTTACTGTCCTAAGGATTTCCAACAGTCTAAAACCGTCTCACCAGGGATTTTTCTTCCCTAACTGAATTAAGATGAGTCTTAAAGCATGAAAAAAAAAAAGGCAGTTGAGAGCTCTGTTTTTTTTAATTATTATTATTTTTTTTAATATATTAGTCTCTATTTCATCTCTTTCTGCTTTGATTGGGTTATGTCCTGGACATACGGGCATATGGCTAGTCAGTTCCTAAGCTCTGAGTCAAGCTCCCCTTGGGCTCACCTTTTGTTTTGCTAAAAACAAAGCAGAATCTGTAGCGAGGAATTTACAGGGCTGTTAGCTGAAGAAGCGCTTGAAGTTCAATTCAAGGATATTTTAGAGGCTGCAAAAAATAGAGACCAGAGAAAGAGCCACTCTCCCCTAATTCTTTCAGTCCAGAATCATTCTCTAAGAGTTTCAGAACATTTCAGAGCAATTCTATATAACTTTCAGCACCTGGGAAAGTTATATATGCTGTGTGCAATTTCAGGTGAGACTTATGTTTTCTGCACAGAATAAAGTCCCCTGCTACAGCATTAAAACCAATGCTGGTATAGCACACAAGACTTAATAAAATTCAGAAATGTAACTTACCTGCAGAGCATGCTTGCTGGCACAGTACCCAGAGGCAAGAGGGGCTCCCATGATGCCCATCACGCTGCTCACAGTCACAATCTTTCCCCTTTTCCTTTCGATCATGTGTTTCAGGACGTGCTTTGTGAGAGAGATCGTGCCGAGGTAGTTAAGTTCCATTATCGCGCTGTAGACGTCCAGGTTTGTGTCCATGAACAGGGAGCGTTGGGAACGTCCACCATTGTTGACCAAAACATCAATCTCGGGAAAGATACAGCGATAAATATAGCACGTTTTCTTTAATATTTGCACTTCCTCAGGCAATTGTTAACTGACTATTCTCATCCCTCCAGTATCGCCCACTAGCCTCCCCCTTTGAGTTGCAGGCTGGCTGACTTTCAGTGGAGACAACAACAAAGGAACAGTGTTTGATGCCAAACAGTGCACAGGAACACTGGCAGCTGGAAACCAATTAGATAAAAGAAAAGAAGGGACAAATCCGGTGCCAATAATTTCTCTGTGACACCAAAATACCAGCGGACTAAAGGCCTAACTTGAAGCTTTGCCCATTGTGCATAGTGTTAGATCTGACTGCTGTTGTCTTAACTCTGGACCAGCAGTCGAAAAGACTACGCACCACACAAGGTAAGCAGCTGGGCGTCATGTCCAGTTTTGTCCCACATGGCTCTGAACCCAAATTACGTGCCTCACCAAAACTACAAACTAAAGGTTCTGACTTTCAGACACAGCTCCAAGCTCAGAATATACAACTGAGGATAGCTCCATTTGGAGCAGAATTTCAGTGATCAATCAAGCAAATGATCAATCAAATCAAGCAAGTTAATTTTTAATTCTTGGTACTGGCCAGTTGATTAGTTGTTCCTTGCTACATCTCTTCAAAGCCCGCTGAAATACAGAAGTAAGCAATAGAAAGGATGAGAATTTAAGTACTTTTGTCACATTTGATACCAAAACTTGAGCAAGATGTGAATTTAAGCATTGCTGAATTTACCATATGATAAAATAAAAATGAAATACTGACCTAAATGCAGGGATAGGAGATAGAGAAGAAATTCAGCCCCAGAGGCGCACCTTACCTTGCCAAAATGCTTAATAACGCTGTTGGTTGCAGCTTCATGAGAGCTTCTATCAGTCAAGTCCAGACGCAGAACAAGGATGTCTTTTTCAGTCAAGGTGCTGATCTCTAAAGACAGCCATAAAGTGAACGGGAACCAGTAAGATCACTAATACAACAATTGTGGAAGTGGGTTTTTAAACCCCTCATTTTCACTAAAAAGACACCAAGAAGTGATAACATTAAGTTGGAACTAAAATGCTTTGTTTTCATTTTAATTTCCACACAGAGAATCCATTTTTAATCTGTTCCTACCATTTTTTTTTCCTCATTATTATCTTTGGCTTTTAATAAGCTTGACTTTATTAAACAGGCTTGGGTATCACAACACAGACAATTCAATTCTCCAAATAAATTGCAATAGTTGGGATTGTTACAGGATTACTTGATCCTGAAACTTTTCACTGAGCCATTCTGAAGCTCAGCTTATTGGCAGCCTTGACATTTTCCTCGTAGGTAAATTATTAAAGCGTGCTTATTTCTGACAATAGGAACAGCAGAGATTAGACCAAAACCACAACATGTATACATGAGTAGTTACAAGCTTTAGGGCTAAGTTTAGAGAATATGGTTCATTGTAGGGGGTAGAAGAAGGATGATCCTCATGGGTCCCTTCCAACCTGGGATATTCTGCAAGAAGGTTTTTGTTTAACGAAGACCTTTCAACACATCCACCTCCTGCAATAAGAGGCAGCTGTCATCAAGTTCAAGCCTTCATGCTGAGTGTTTTCACCACTGACTCTCTGGAACATCTGACCTTTCCCACAGAAAGCATTTCTTGAGCAGTGATTTGCTACCCCTGGGGTCTGGGGGCAGATGACTCACAAAAATAAAACCTTCAATGTTAATCTTTCCATTTTTTAAACCAGACAAAACTATTTTTTTTCTTAATATCTGCATACTAGGTTGATGGTGCTATTTTTTGTTTTTAAATCGATTCCTAGCCACAGTTAAGTACATCTGCTCCCCTTTGACCAGCTGTGCTCTTTAGAGAGCGCCTAAAGCTCTTATTTTTTCATTACCACGTCTTGCACACACAGGTATGGTTGAACCTTGTCTCTACAGTGATGTACAGATAAGGTTACTGAAATCCACAAATTGCCTCTGCTCAAAGGTCGCTTGTATTTAGGTAACTGGATACAATAAAGCCATGTTTGGTTTAAAACTACCATATTTCCATGCACTGCTGCTTCCAGTGCTCCCTCCTCCTCCCCCCTACCTTTCCATCTATTTCCCTCAGACCATTACAGACAGCAGGAAAATCTTTGTAGGTTAAACTACACCTCTACATCACGCTCCCAGCCCTGCGAAGGGCCTGGAGGTGGTGGTGGATGAGAAGCTCGACACGAGCTGGCAATGTGTGCTTGCAGCCCTGAAATCCACCCCTGTCCTGGGCTGCACCAGCAGCAGTGTGGGCAGCAGGGTGAGGCCCAGGCTGCCCCGAGGAGCTGTGGCTGCCCCATCCCTGGCAGTGCCCAAGGCCAGGCTGGATGGGGCTGGGGGCAGCCTGGGCTGCGGGCAGGAGTTGTGCCCATGGCAGGGGCTGGGATTCGATGGGCTGTGAGGTCCCCGCCAACCCAAACCCACCTGGGATTCTGTGATTTCTATCAGCCTCCTCCAGTCACTTTTTTTCTAGGGTGAGGAATCCTTGCTGTAGTCATTCCTCAGACAGCTTTCAGAAAACTTCACACATTCTTGTTACCCTTTTTCCATGCTTCTTTTGCTGTCTACTCAAGAAAAGCAAAGAAAACTATGTTCCCAAGTGGGAGACCTTGGGTTCGGGTTCACCATTTTACACAAATGCTACCAGATGTTGCTCACATCCTATGCTGACGTCTCCAGCTGCTGGCAAAACAAACTGCATGTGGGCATCAGTTTCCAGATGCCATATCTGAAACTGAGTGCTCAGCCTGCCCAGAACAAGCCACTTTCACACAGCTGTGAGTGCACATTCCTGATACGCTGTATTTTCTGGAAACCCTTTAAAGTCTCCTTACACAGCAGCTCGCTGCTACATCTGGGCAGGATCAAACTGCCCAACCACCAAGCAGCAGGTCTTCCGACTAACATTTTTTCCTATGGTTCATTAAGTTTTGTTATTTTTAATCTACAAAATTATTACAGTCACCCAAAGCCAACTAGTTGTTTTTTTGAGTATATTTTTGCAAGACAGCTGTAAAAGTAAGCTGACTTAAAACAGCATTTTCTTATGACATTAGATATACACTAGATAATTGTGCTTGCTTGTGACATTAATATGTAAATCATCTAGTTATGTTGCTGCTGTGTACCGCGTTCCACAGTCAAGTTAAAGCTTATTAGCTCCAATTATGCCATATAATTCAGCTAACTTCAAGTTGATGTAACGTGCAGCAGCTCAATCTTGACCCATCCCACACTGCTCAAGCCTTACAGAACACTCCTGAACTCAGTTGCAAAACGGAAACACACAGGAGGTGTGAGCAGGGACAAGGGACAAGCCATCCAGTTTATAGGGTTTATGGGGCAAGGTTTTGGTATCAGGGGGGTGCAGGGGTGACCTCTGTGAGCAGAGTCCAGCAGCTGCCCTGTGTCAGAGCAGGGCCAGCCCCAGCCGGCACCAGGGGACCCGCTGCTGGCCAGAGCAGTGCTGTGTTCAGTTCTCGCTGCTCTTGTCTATTATTAATGGGTAACAAATTACACGAATCTCCTTCACACTGAGTTGATTTTGCCCGTGACAGTAATGGTTGAGTGACCTCCCCATCCTTATCTCAACTCACAAGCTTTTTTTTGTCCATCATATTTCATCCTTTTGAGGAGGGGGAGTGAGAGAGCAGTGTCGTGGAGCTCTGCGCCCCACCAGTGTGAAACCACCACACCCAGCAAGCGCTCGGACACATGCCCAGGTGTGCAGGGAAGGAATCAGGAAGGCTGAAACTCAGAAGTCAAAGCTGTTGAGGAATGTGAAGGGCAAGGACAGCTCCTACAGGTACAGCAGCAATAAAAGGAAGACTGAAAAACAGAGTGAGCTCAGCACTAAGGAGAGATGGCAATGAAGTGACAGAAAAACATAAGTTGCTCATTGCTTTCTTTGCCTTAACCTTCATTGGCAGGCAGGATCTCTCAGGTCTCCCACAGCACTGACACTAGCCTCTGGGGGAAAGAAATGCTACAAACATCAGAGGAAGACTAAGTTAGGGACAAACTTGACATATAAACAGAGCAACACATGCATCCAGGGGTTATGAGAGCTGATCAATATCACTGCAACACTACTGATCTTTGGAGGAAGTCACCAGAAACTGAAAAAAGCAAATGTCACACGGCCTAAGCTCAGTCCTTGGGAAAACAATGGGACAATTCCTCCTGAAAGTGATTTCCAAGAATATGAAGGACAAGAAAGTGACTCTACCAGCCAACATGGATGTACTGCGGACATGCATGGCCTGACCAACTTAACTGCCTTCTGCACTGACACGACTGGCTCTGTGGCCAAGGGCAGAGCAGCAGATGCTGTGTATCTTGACTGTAGCTTTCTGTGTTGTCCTCCACAGCACCCTCATAGCTACGCTGGGGAAATGTGAGGGGTCTAGGTGAGTGGATTACAGTGTAAGTGAAAACCAAGCTGGATCAACCAACCCCTCAAAGTCCAACAGGTGACCAGTTAGCTCCAAGAGGTAGCCCTCCATGGACAGTAACTTTTAGCATCTTCATTAATGACCCAGATGATGGGATAAAACCCCTGGTTTTCAGCACATTTTCAGGTAACATCAAGTTCAAAGGAGCAGTTGCTGTGCTGGAGGGTAGGGCTGCCATTCAGAGGCATCTTAACCAGCTGTAATAATGGTCTGACAAACCTCATTAAGCTCAAAGTCAAATGAAAAAATTTGCAGCTGGTATAGAACAGCATTATGCAGTACAGCAAACCAGTGCCCAAAAAGCGAGGTATCAGATCTCCACACAAGGCCTGAGGTCCTGATGAAAAGCCTGCTGATTTATATTCCATGTGCAGCTATGAGCTCCTGCAATTATAAATGCTACTGGGCTGCAACAGCAAGAGAAGATTGAGGGAAGAGGCTGTTAAGTGCCACTACACGGAACTCTAAGACTGCAGTTGGAGTACAGTGTCCAATTTGGGACTCTCATTAACAACAAATACCATCAATCTGCAGCACAGAGCCACCACGATGGCTAGAGGAGCTAGCACACCTTATAATTAAGGAAAGGGGTGGAAGGCTGAGTTTAGAGAGAGAAGTAAGAGGGCAAGGGAGCCAATTACTGTCTTCCACTACTTAAAGGCTGGCTATAGAAAATACAGAGTACCTATGTTGCTGAAGTTTCCAATATTCCTACTAATCTAACCCATAACTAAAAAAGTTCAGTAGCATATTTCTCCAAAACACATGGCTACATAAGACTAGTACATAGCACAGCCATGATATTCACAGTTATTTCAAATTGGCAGAAATTATTTTAGTCAAATCTGTGCTCTCAGTACATTATCAACTGAACTAAGTTTTCTGAATATTCTCTAGCACCTTGCTCTTATACAAACGTTGCCTGAAAATGGACATCCAGATTGCAGCTCTTGCCAGCATATCCAGTGCCATCAGTGTCATAATGACAACAAACGTCCGCAGACGTAAGTGCAGTTGTGTGCTTTTAGTGACCACTAAACATTGCATCATATCATTTGACTTTTGCCATAATTACCGTCTAACCACACCATCATCTGACAGCCCTGCTTTCTTTTTGAAGACATCTATTTAAGTACCAGCTTTTTTGAAGCGTCAGGAAATGGAAATAAGGAGCAGTGCATTTTTGAAACGTCCTCGTCAGATTTTCAGAGTAACCTGCTGCAACTTTGAGATTTCAAGGAATTTTTGTGCTAAGCCAAATGAACATTTCAACATTCACTACCAAGTGTTCCAAGTATGCTGCAGGCATTTGATCAACATTACTAGGAACAAACTGTCAGTGTGATAATACAGTCACTAAACAATATGGAGGGCAAATGGGCAGAAAGAGATATGTTAATCATGTTCAACACTTCTATTTATCGACATTAATTTATTGCCTATCCCTCCCACAGCCTGCCAGAAAACCGAGGAAAAAAGATAAAGAAGAGGAATGAAGTTACACTACTGACACAGCAGGCATATGAAAGATAACTGGCACAGTTAAACATCCTGCATCATACATGCTCCTCTCGATTTACAGGAGATCCTCTTCTCTGCACGTACTCAGAACGGCTTTTCCTGAACATTTCTATTCATTCCTTTTCCAAAGGAAACTCCTTGACAGTTGTCAATCTGACTGTAGGAGGCACAAACCCAAAGGGAGAAGACTTCTCAGTAGCATGCAGCCACATTGTTTGCTTCTGAAAAGGATGACACCCCTCAATTTCCTACCTCCCTTCCCCACTCTATGTATTCAGTAATTTACAAAACCAGCTGCAGTTGATAATAAGGGTAACACCAGCTTATAAGGGCTCTTGTACCACCAACCTATACAAAGCCTTCTCTCAAGAAAACAAAATATTGGCTTCAAATATACAGTGAAATTATGTATAAAGTTCACTTTCATCATTAATTTTATTCCTGTGCTTTGTGGGTGAGTATTTCTGTGGCAACCCCGCCACAGCAAGAGTGGAGCTGCTCGCATGAAGTAGTAACTTATACTTACGAAGGCATTTCTTTTTCACTCTTTCTAGTTCGTCTTCTCTTCTTGCTGAGATGGCAAGGAAAGCTCCTATCTTTGACAGCTGGTAAGCCAACTCTTCTCCAATTCCACTCGAAGCTCCTGTCACCCAGACAACCTTGCCACGTAGTTCAGTTTCTGTCAGGAGAATCAAGACAGCAGTTCACACATTGCCAATGCTAGAATAAACATTTAAGTCCCTGCAGAGGTAAACTCTGATACTGTTAAGACATATGCTCCACTATATCGGCTGTTACAAAATCCTGACTTCTTTATTTTTTGGTCATGTGCAGTTGTGAAATCGTTCCATGCTGTTCTGCTACTTGAACTTTGTTCCACGGCTAATCTGAATAAACACAAATTATCTACCTGATGGAAGAAATTGGATTGCGTTTCTGCAACTCATCCATGCAGAGCGTATCCACTGACCTCATCAAAAAGAGCTTCAGAGGAAAATGGAGAAGAGAATTCTTGGAAACAGCAGGTAAACGGTTACTGTATGGCAAATCCAAACAAAAGCCTAAGCCAACCTTTCCCAATAGATGTTCTACCTCAAAAACGGTCCTAAGTAATTGCTGACAGAAGAAAATTCTCTGATCACAGGCGGCTTATCAGAACAAACGGAATGGGTGTTCATCTGCTTTGCTTTAGATCTGATGCAGGTTAATTCTTGCATTGTTCAGAATACAGTACACCGAGTTCCCAGGGCGTCAGCTCATCTATGAATTTCCTGCGTACTCGCAGTTCCTGCCCAGGCATGCTTTTTAAACCTCTAGTAAAAACTGTGGTATCTTGCTCCTTCACTCCTCTGCTTGGAGCCTGTTCCCCCTGGTTTGCAGGCATTCCCCCCTCCTGACCCTATGAAACACCTAGAACCTGGGAAAAGGTTTAGATTTCCACACGTACATCCAAAGTCATCAAAACAAAATAGATGGATGAAAGTCACCCATTTAATTCTGAAACACGATTTAAGGACGAGTGATCACTAATATCAGAGCACTTTCCAGAACGTATTACTGACTAAAACTTGCACATCTTCTTCATCATCAGTCCCAGTAAAAAATCTGGGACTGATCAGCTGCTGAGAAGGGCTTTTTCTTCTATTTAACACATTTGTACACAGCATTCCAACTATTTCTAACCAACCAAGAAAGATTTTACATTATAATTCAAATAGCAGAGGCAAATTCAGCTCCTGGGATTTAAAGCCTATTTAATTCAGAAAAAAGGCCAGAATAGCATTTGTCAACTTACTGAAACTTACCCATTCACTTGGTTTAGCAAAAATACGTCTTTACTGAAGCCGGTAGCTGTGACAACTTTTACCTCCTGCTTCAGGATCAGTTCCTGGTTCTCTCTCCACTACTCTGTTTCGAATTTCTACTTTTGAGTCTTAATGATAAATCCACTGAAGAGATAAGCACCAAAATCTTGTTTCCCTTCGTCCTTGCTGAAGACTTCAAGACTGACTATCAGAGCTCAACTTGAATTTGTAGGACTGGCACCAGGTATTATTATTATCATTATTATTTTCTTTATTTTTTGTTTTAGAAAGCTGACTTTTTTAGCCAAAGAAAAAACCTTCCTAAAACCAAACAAAGTTGTAGGAATAACTGTTTTATTAATAATTATATCAGAAAGCTGCTGTCACTAAGGCTTATTCACACTCTTTTCCAAGTGTTTTATTTCAACACATTCCCAAATCATTGAACTAACTACAAGGAACATGGAGTTTACCTCTCAGATTAATTTGTTATTTTTTTGGCAGTTTGTTTCCTCTTGAAACACAGTTTGTTTCCTGTCAAAACAAACAGTACTTGAACAGAAGCGCACATGGATATGCCTTCATCCCTGCTTACCACACTCATCTCCTCTTGCTACTGAAAACAAATGCAGTTCCTCCCACCACGCAGTTTCCCTGTTCTGAACCTGCCTTGAGCAGGTTCATTGTAGTTATTCAGGATCTTGCTCTGTGGACAGAATAATTAATTGAGATGAGGAAGGTTTTTCACTGATTTCTCAGTGCTGATAGTTACCCTACGCTGACCTACTGGAAATTAGTACAGTGCAAAACCTAGCTGAAATGTTGTTGTAGAACAATTATCAAGCAACTAGCTTGTTCTAGAATAAATGTCCTGTTGTAACTGGAAATAAGTTTAAAAATTAACTGTGCCAAAGTAAAAAATAAAAGATTATACTTTTACTAACCATTAACTACTGTGTTAAAAGACATAACAAATGAGAGGTTGCACAGAGCAATATTCCAAGTGCTTCTGTAGTTCAGCTCTGTTCAGATTTTTTTTTTTCCTCCATCATTTTATAACTCCCACGGCACAAGGTTACCACTTCATTTCATTCATGAAAATATTTGGAGTGGGGAAGTCTAAAGCAGAACATTTTCCCCAGACCCGTGAAGAATCACACTATTATTCTTAGCTTAAAGAGTCAGTTTTTATATATTCATATGTAAAAGGATCCTACTAAGCTCGGTAATACCACAGTGTCTGTGAAAAGCGCACCACTTAGAGTGACTGCTCATCAGCTAATGAAATACAACACATAAGGGAAGTCACCCAGCACCCCATAACCCTTGTCTCCTGATCTCACAAATACTTAGATCACGGGAAATAATCCAGCACCTGCCAATGATGAAATCCAGATGCTTCCCTATAGAAGTGAATCACTGAATTGAACTCGTCTTACCTATGCGAAGGCTGTGCTTTATAATTATAGTTTTCAAGATAAAGAAACATGATAAGAGTCTGCTTTCTGGTAAGTACTTTTATCTGCAAAAACTTCCAACACCCATACTAATGTTGTGGAAGCTGTTACAAAGCATAATGACAGCAAGAGTGACAGCTCTATCAACAGCTTTGATTAAAATTCAAGTTTTCTCCACCTGACCCATGTGCTACTCACCTGGAGATGTCTGCAGACATGCTATGCTGCCTGCACAATGTGGGGAGGAGGACAAGCAGGAACATACTTGAAGAAAGATCTTTTCTAGTGTTTGTCCCTTTTGTTTTCCTCGCTGAGCAGATAGGATCAGCACTGACAGCACTATCACATATGTGCAAGGCTGAACTTATGGCAAAATGCTACTTAAATGCTCCCATTTCAGCTGCATATTTCAGTTAGTTACAAGCACTGAGGCCCAGGGTGGGGGGAAAACGCAGTTCATCACTTTGCAGAGCAAAGAAACATTGACAAAATTCTCACTGATCCTCCTTATAGCACATATTGAAACAGCTAAAACTACATTGCTCTGTACGTGGGAATTTTTAGAGACTAACTGAAAGGTTTCCAAGCTTCCAGTGAGATTGAAAGGTACTTTCAAATAATGCTATGTCTACCTGAGAGCTCCTAAGTGTACACATGCATTACACACAGATACCTCAAGACAAAGCTTCAGTTTCATATACATTTATCAAGATTTATCCTGTTTCTCTGCCCTGAGTCTTTCCATGATATTTGCAAAGTCAACACACACAGGTATTTTTCGTACTTTTCTTATAGTGAGGGAACTGCCTGATGGACTTGCTGTAAGACTCATCCTGCATACAGTTACAGATTGGTTGCATATTTAAATTTAGTATTCTTAGAGCTGGATTACTTCTGCACACTTTCCAGTTCTCCAGCACACAGACTGGCACTTTCGCAGCAAGTTTCTACTGAAAACAGAAGTCAGACTGATCTCAAAGTCTGGGCCACACTCCCAACCCAACTCCACAGTGGGATGATCCCCACCTTCTCCCACTTCTTCTGTCCAACCTGCAGTGGTCTCCATCCTCACCCTTGGTTTGCTGCATGCCCACTAGGCTAGAACTAAAAAAAAAAACATCCCAAATTCCTGTTTCAAATGGCTTTCTTGACAAACTCTTCACAGAAGAGTTCTCTCAGCCCCTTCCCAATGCCAACCTGTACCTGCAGCATCATTCCCTACTGCATCCTTGTGTCAAGCCCAAATCCTTACTCCTCAGTTCCCCTCCAACACAACGACCCTCCTTCATCCAAGACAGTCCTATCTCCCCATCTCAACCCATCATCCAATTTCATTTCACACACAGGACAACTCATAGTGTTCCCTATCCCATCTTTTCCCAGATCAGCTTCTCCACCCAGCTGTTCAGACACAAGAAGGTTCTGCGTGGTCACTGCTCCATTTTCACCTCAACCACCCAAACCCAGCTTTCTAACAACATCCCAAATTGCAGCTGCTGGCTAAGCTGAGGCGGGATATTCAGAAATGCATGACTCTTCAAATCAAAGCCTCTTTTATGCAAGTAAAACTGAGGATTTTTTCAGATCTTTGGTTGTCTACAAGGAAGCAGAACTGCAGACAGATTAGAAAGGTCAACACATGCAAGAGCTGTAAATCCCTGGCTGAAGGCGTTTTATTGAATCTTTGTAACCACAAGTGTGGAAAGCAACACCTTACAGAAAAGTGAGGAAAATCCACAGACAGCAATCATGTGGTGCTGCTCCCTCACACCTTTTGGGGCAAAAACCTCTGAAGAGGAAACCCATTTAACCCAAGCATTAATATTCATGTTTATTATCCTGTAAACAGTTTCAGCACTACTGTGAAACTGAGATCTGCTTTAAGATGCAAGAAGGAACAGAAACTAAAGAGTTGTTTATATCTTGTAAAGAGTTGTTGTTTTTCTTTCTTCCAGAAAAAATGAAAGTTTCTCTCTCTGACCCACACTGTCCATCCCTCACCTGCAGGTTTTAGCAGGATCCCGAGAGGTTTGAGCAGCACCTGAAGGAGGAACATGCATCACCTGCACACACTAGCATGGGGTGCCATGAAGAATCCCTTCCATGGTGGTCAGAAATCGAGGAACTAACTCATTCCTGCCTCATATTAAGCACTCCCTTTTCTTATTGTCCCCCCTTCTGTGCCTCTCCTGGCACACCACAGCCTCCTGGAGCAACAACACACCCGACAGCCTCGCTTATCCCACAGGCTGACGCCAGAACCAGACATCAGAGCGGAAACAATGCCAAACAACATTTTTGGGGCTGAGCGAGCTCTGCGAGGCTGCTTTTAGGTTACTTTATTCAACGCGTCTCTTCGCTGCCGCCTTACAGCGAGCTGCAGCTGCGCATGAGAGGATCGCCACACCTTGCTGAGGGCTGAAAACACCGGGTGTTTCAACCCCTAAAATAACTTTTAGGGTTATTCTTCAGCGAGCCCCGGGGGCAGCTGTGGTCGGATCAGGCCGAGCTGAGGTGCCTCCAGCCCGGCTGCCTCGGTCCCCCCTTGCCCCCACACGCCGCCATCCCCGCGCCCCCTCACGGAGCGCCTCAAGCGGCGCCACCCCTCGGCGCCCCGCAGCCTCCCTCAGGGGTGGCGGCCGCTCCGGGCGGGCAGCCTCTCCCTTGGAGTCGTTTTTACCTGGCTTCTTCCCCCTCCACTCGGCCCACAGCAGCGTGAGGTCGCCATCGGCCCGCAGCCAGCGGACCAGCTGCGCCAGCAGGGCCAGGAGGACTCCGCCCGCCAGCAGCTGGCACAGCCCGCAGCCCCACGACATGGCTGACACCTCCCCTCCGCCTTCCTTCCCCTTCTCTTCCTGCTGCGCCCCTTATGAGGTCCCCCGGCAGGCGAGAGCCGCCTCCTCCTCCCCGCCTTCCCGCCACGGTGTGGTAATGCGGGTCCCCCCCGTCACGGTGTGGTAATGCGGGTTGGCGCAGTCAAGGCTGCGGCGATAAGGGCTGGGTTTATAGGGCAGGGGCCGTGCGCGTGGCAGGGGCTGAAGGTTGTTTTCTGGGAGCCGGGGACTCTTTTTTCCCAACTTGACGTGCCCCCGAGGGGAGTGGAGGGCTGGCTGGCTTCGGGCTTGGAAACAGCGCTGGATGCCGCACGTCCTCAGGCTGAACAGGCACTGGTTTGGGGTTGGTGCCTGGAGAGCAAAACCCAGTGCCCAGTACGAGGAGAGCCTCAGGGGGACACCTATGAACCCCCTTCCCCTCAGGGGGACACCTATGAATCCTCTTTTCCTCATGCTCCCCGGTGGCTCCCAGTGCACTTCTGCAGCTGGAAGTGCAGCACTGTCTTCCCCACCAAGGTCTGTTCAGCAATCCTCCTCTTGGCCGAGCCTCCCCCTGTGCTGAAAGGAGGCAAACGCTTTGCCCAACACTTCAAACCTTGGTTTTAGACACTGGGCTCTGAATGGAGTGGTGTGGGACAGCCACGAGTGCCAGAAACTGGCATTTCAGAACAGTACCTCACCCTCACCTGCTGCTCTTCACCATAGATTTGCTAGTGCGTAAGTGCAGAGCTTGTAACTCGTGTAACCTTTGTGCTTCAAAGTCTTTTGCAGCAGCAGGCAGATATAAAAGGGGAACCCATAGTAACTCAGGAACTTTGCTATATAAAGACAGTTGTGTGTCATGATGAGAGCTCTTTTTTGTATTTCTTTCTCATCTGTTACTGAACTATTTATTCTGTGTTAGCGCAACACATAGCATAATGGAACCTTAATGCCACATGAAACAAATAACTAACAAGTAATTAATTAAAGAAATAACTAACAAGTATAATATATATATATATATAGTTTCCTTCTCTGTGGAAAATCAGGACATGAACAAATTTGCTCATTGCAAAATTCATCTGTCTACACTTGCCAGATCTTTATATTCTCTGGCAAAAATACTCTGGGACTTTTTTCTCCTTGTGGTAAGTGCAGGTGGTACACATGGGATTGCGAAGCTTTGTGTCACAGCATACTGGAATGGGAAGTATAAAATGGGAAGATGATGCACACTGCACCTGCACAATATATTCCCAGTGGAGTTTTCCCAGTTATCCCCAAAGGGACAGGTGTACAGTGGCTCGGGCTGAACACAGAATACGTAGGAGAAGCTCACGAGGTCCCAGCATCCCGTGGTTGGAGAATACTGAGAATTCATGATATAACACCATATTTGACCCCTCTTTTTACAACAAAATTGAGTAAAACAGATTTCTCCTGTTAATCTTGTGCATTTGTACACTTGCACAGTCACTATCAGTGGAGATTTTACTGCCTATGTCCAAGATTACGAAGACAGACATGAAGTGCTTGCTCAGTGTCATACTGAGTATGGGAAGAAGAGCACTGAAGAAAGTTACAAGGTCTTTCACAAGGTGATATCCATTCTCAGTGTTTGCCAACTTATAAAAACTAAATACGCTCATCTTAGTAGATGAATTATCTGAATGATAAATAAAGATAATTAAGAAATTATGCTAATTATACACACCCAAGCCTATCGAAAAAATTCTTCTGAGAAACCCAAAGATATCCTAAAAAGCAGCAAAGCTACCACAGGCTGTGGCATTTACACGTTTGCTGTAAGCCATCAGCATCATGCCAGACTACGAGATGATTTCTTCTAACCCCCAAAGCAACAGGCAAAAGATTGATGGGAGCCCAGGGCTCCCTGCTTCCAGTCTCACCTTGATGGCCAGCAGTGCTCTAGCTTTCCATACTGGAAGCACAACGTTGAACGTTGACAGTAACATACACTCTTTTTGTTGCTTCAAAGATAGCAACTGCTTAGAGAAGAGCTGTTTGACAAAGTACCAAAGCAAAATGAAACATCTCGTAAAGGATCACAATGTAACAAAGCCGTTAGATTTGATCAACATCTAAGTTCCCAAGGAAAACCAAAAGTATTTTCCTTTTAAGCCTGAGTTTAGTTTCCATGTGCAAAACTAATTTTCACTTTCTGAAGAGGCCATTACTGCTAAGTCTTTAGAAGTCTAGTTGAGGATTAAAAAGTCAATCTACCAAAGTCAACCCAAACATCAACAGAATGCACTTTATCCAGTGATTTATGCAGATGACACTTTGGAGTCCAGTAAACATGTTCTGATATTTATACAAAGTACTGAAATGCAATAGTGAAGTGCAAGAGCCAAAGAGAAGCTGAAGTGCAATGCTCCGAAAACAAAATAGGAAATAGTTACCAGTATGAGAGGTCACAGTCTTGCTCCATGCACTGTTGTGAACCTTGGTGAGGCTCCCTTTGTTGACTCTGTGGCAGCAGATAACAGATCAATTAAACTCTGAACATAACACGATAACATGCATTATTCTTGAAAGTTACACGAATTATATTGGCACCTGATGTAATTAAAAGCAAAATAAGTTCCCTTTTGTCCCCTAAGCAATAAGAGAGAAATACGTTTGACTAAATTACTGTTTCTGTATATTTATTCTGCAATCATGCAGTATTAAGAAGACCTTCTGCGCAAGTGCAAAGACATAAACTCGGGTGACCTCCATAAATGAATAATAAATGTGCAGTATTATTCATGCTGCTAAATGGAGACAAAAAATGTGACAGTAGACTGAAAATCTGGAACTCTAGTAATGCTCTTCAGCTTTCTGATTCCAATTAGACTTGTTTTGGTAGGGTTTTATTTAAGTATGTGCATAGCTTTTTCTGTTGGACAATGTTTATGGCATTAGAACCATCAGGAACAAAAAGAGTAAGAAGTAAAATCAGAATGATGTGAATTCAACACTAAAAAAAGATTAAGTGGAGATTTATCTTACAGTTTATCTGGCCACCACATTAGAACTTCTAAGTCATGTGAACTGTAATAATTTCATATTTTAGTTGTATTTCCAATAACCATATTGTAGCCCAAAGCCAAAGGTGAGTGGAATGAATTTCAGGAATAGCATCATAAATTCATCCTATTTTAGAGCAAATTTATGCAATGCATAGACCTATCAGATATAAGCTTATAAACACATGCATATCAGACCTATCAGAATGTATCATCAGGGTGTATATGGGTTTCTTTCATAGTGCCAAGTAAACACACCCAAGTAGGACTGGATAGGCTTTTCTCTAGATACTGGGGAGGATGACAAGTCCTCTTTCTCATCCTGCCCATGATCTTGTTGTTTTGCACCTTACTTTACATCTGTTTTCAAACTGATTTTATCATGTTGGTTTTGATGTTTGATACTGTTACTGAAATGGTTTATTCATGCTGTAGGTACGGACCTTCTTCCAATCCTTGTATCTGTTTCCTTGTCCCATTTCAAGCTTGGACAGACATTCATCTTTCTTCAGGGTTCCCACCAACTTCAGCTGAAGTAAGATGGGTGTTGTGTTTTTGGTGCTGGAGATGAAGCAGCTTGAAATAGTGCATAAAATATACAAGTTTCAGCTGCACAAAAGAAATGAGTAAACGACGTGTCAGTCTCTCATAAATCCTCCTGTGATAGCTTAAAAAAACATGATGTTCACGTTGCAAACATTGCATTATAGGAAGGTATGGATGGGTATTATTTAAACCATATTTGGCAAGGCATTTCAGCATCTGTCTCAACCCATCCTTACTCAGTGAGGTGCTTAACTATGTTTTAAACAATATGCATGCACTTACATGTCTTTCGGCTCAGTGGGACATGATCTGTAAAGTATATGCTTTATTTATTTATTTTTCTGAAGATAGGCCTGTGACAATAATCTGATTAAGCTGTTTACCTTTAAGAATTAGTTTTGCAGTAGTGAATTATACACCTTCCTTAGGTTCAGGTGATCTAGCCAAGTTCTACAGTTACAAGAAGACATATTTAGAATTTGGTTATATTTCCAAAACAGAAAGAAATAATTTTGGCCTACTACCAAATTATTAATAACTTTGATACTATATATTTTTTCTAGGTTCACTGTAAAAGACTTGCAGAGCTTTATAATTGTTTTATGATGTATCAGCTGTGTATGTCCAACACTATAGGCACTGCCATGATCACAGAGCAAGACTGAGAAATTATTTCCATTGAATTATGATTGGCTTATTAAATGGGGGAAAACAAACAGATTTTTTACACACCCTGCCTAGTCTTGCATCTTTTAATCCACATCTAATTATATAAATAAAAGTGGTCTCAAATACTAGAATCATATAATGGTTTGGGTTGGATAGGAAGGGACCTTAAAGATCATCTAGTTCCAACCCCCTGCCACAGACAGGGACACCTTCCCCTGTATACATAGCATACAATATACTGTAATAGGTAAGAGTAGTTTGGTTGCTTTAAGCATGAATTACAACCAAAAATGCATACAAAAGATGTGCAGGGCCTATGGGTTATTGCGCTTAAGCCTTTTCTGTACACTTTCTGTCTGACAGCTATATACATTGCTAGTTGTCTGAGGCGTTGCTGATTTTTTTGCCAGTCAAGCTTTTCCTCCATAGCTAGTTGGTCTTTCATTTCTTTCTAAGGTCTAAAATCACTTTCTTTGTTAAGTCTGAATGAACCAGGTTTCAGCAGGTCTGACAACACAACATTGCCAAGAGACTTCAATATAAAATAAGTAAACTTTTCGCAGGTTTATGGGTGAAGTGCTTCCTCTTTGATTGTTCACAAGGGGGCCTCAGATGACTTGTTGCCAGCCCCGTTAATAATACTGTGAGCATGGGTGTGAATATTTTCCACAGTAATGTGATGCAATTTCTTTGATCCGTGTTATAGTAAATAAAGCTCCAGTGCAATTAGCTGAGATTATTTCAGCGTCTGTGTAAAACATAAATTTGAAAAATGCTCTTGCTTCACTATATTATTTATGTAGGTATGGTAACATTTAAATGAGTAACAAAATACAGAGTAGCACTGGATTCCCTTTTCCAGTATTTCTTCTTCCAGTGTGAGCAAACCGAATGACTTCTACAGAGAAAAGCTTTCTTCTGTTTAGGAAAACAAAATTTTAGGGAGAGCCCATGATAAAATGAGTACAAGTGAAATAAGGCCAGTTTTGACTCCATGCTATCTGTATCAGAATGATACTTGTGCCATAGGTTTAGTGTTGCTGTAAGAGGAGACTAACAAATGCACATCAAGGCAGACACCACCCCATGTAAATGTAACTGAGTGCTGAAAATATTTCTTACATAAACCTGTCTGGTCAGACAGTGGATATATCCACATTTTCCACAGTTTCTGTCTTATATCTGTTTCAACTGTAAGTTATTATTTAAAAAAAAAAAAAAAAAAAAAAGTACTCTCTTTTGTAATAAAATTTACTGAAAATGTAAAAACATACCCTGTGTAAGGGACATCTATTCAAACCCTTTAAATGAGAGGAATCATTTTGTTCTGACACTGATTTGAGGTACAATTCTGCTCTCAGTATGTCTGGGACTTTTTTTTTTTCCTACTGCATACAAAGAGCACAAGCTCTCTCCTTTCTGTACCAGAATTAGCTTCTTGAGTTTAGGTCTCTGTTTCTTTGTGCATTTAAGTCTCTGCATTCCTAGCTACCCTAATCTCTTCTCATTTCAACTTTTAGCATGTTGTTCAATCTTCGTGTTTTTCACACATAGCCCCTTCTCCCTGCCTTCCTACTCTGGCCAGAGTATTATTCAATTATTACTTGAAGGTAATAATATCCATCTTTTCTTACTTCAAATCTCTCTTTAATTTGACTTATTCCTTCCATCCATTTCGTTTCAGTCTGTTTAGTTCAGATTTTGTGTGTGAGCCTGCACCCGTTCAAAACCTGGAGACTACAAATGTAAACCAATTCTAAATAGGGCAAGCTGAACTGCTGTATCTTCTAGCTATTTTAAAAACAATAATTAAAACTGTTGATACTGCTTTCTTGGCCACTGCATTACAGTTCAGTACAACCTGTTCCCAGGCAACAATAGGTAAACCACAGAAATCATTTTTTTGGCCAGGCTAAACTACATCTATACCAGTAGGTCAAACAGGGCCAAGGCACAGAGTTATGCACTGGCACGTGATCATCCATGCTTTTAAACTGTTGTCAACGTTCCTTGTATGGTTTGCCCACACACGCACTCCCAAACAATGTGGTATGTCTGAGGGGCATCAGCTACAGACACAAACCAGGTCCAGCCTGAAGGCTTCAGGACCAGAAAGTTGACAGACTGTTCAGCTTCCTAGCAGAGGCATAGCAAAAATGGTTACACAAGTCTTTGCAACCATTTATTTAAGCAAACCCTATGTTAAACTGGTGAAACTGTCTGTAAATCATTCTTTTCTTCTCTCTTCTCCCTATACCTCATTGCTTCCTCCACAAGAAAAAAATATAGATAGCAAACAAAACATCTGACAACAACAGATCATCATAGAAAAATACAAGTTTGTAATATACACAGTGGCAGACAGGAAAATATAGGAAGCATCTATAGACAGTAGTAGATGACTCTTGGTTGTTGGTCACTCACTTTTTGTGGCATCCTTTGGGAAGGACTTTCTCAATATATAAGCTAGAGGCATTTTCTACCCTCTCACCATTGTGACATTTGGTTTGAAGCTATAAAACTCTGCAGTGATCCCAGCTGCCTGCAGCTATACTTGGCCCTGTCCTTCTTCCAGATTTCACATCCATGACTTTTCAAGTAGATTATAAACAGCCTGGCCTTTTGTTTTCTAAGTGCTTGGCGTGTTTTTACTGACACCTACATTAAAAGACTAAAAAGGCCGTTTACTTCTAAAAAGTTTCCATCAATGCCCTAACCGGATATTTGAACGTGACTTCAGTATTGCAGACATGTTATGCAGGTTCTTCACATAACAGTGAATTTTATTCAAAAGTTTAAGATGAGAACTGTATCAGTTCTGTTCCTTTAGACCACACTAATCTGTATTTTCTTCCTGTTTATTGACTTTAAAAGCACTTTTACCCAGAGAAATAATAAAAAGAGAAATCCAGAAAAACTCCAATGTTTTCTCTAAGACGTGTGCCATTTATACGAAGGTAAGATTTGTTTAGCATGATAGGAAAGTAATGGAACCCAGAGTCCATAAGCTGTATTATCCATTTACTTTTCATAACGTACTTTCTTTGGTTTACATTAACAGTTGTGACTAAATTACTGTGTTTATGTAAATACTAAAAATACAGAACATGTTCACGTTAATTGAACAAAACTACATCTAATGCTAACGTTGTTTTGTTTGTGTGACATTACTGCTATGCAATTCCTTACAATTATTCAAAGACAATATTAGAAGAAGTCAAGATACAAATATATGGATGACTTTTACCAGGAGGACTAGGTATAGGTAAAGGTTAGGACATTCCTAAAGGTTAGAACATAACAAGTTATATGAATATATCATATCCAGTGAGGGTAAGTAAATATTTCATGTTTTTCTTTTTTAAAAAGCAGCCTTTTTTTTTTTTTTTCTTGATGTGGGATAAATCTCTTGTGTTGGTGAAGAGGAGGACATTATCTTCAATATTTATATTCTGATTCGTAGATCCCTATTCTGTTTCTATCATCCTGGGCTGGGTTCCAGCATCACCAAAGTCAATGGAAAGATTTGGGCCCCATTTTCCACATTTGTAATTTTTAAAATATATACATAGGTATATAAAGCAACATTTATTCAACTTAAATGAAGTAGGAGCCTGCTCTGAATCCTGCACTGAAAGATTTTCTCTTCCTCCATCTCCTTACACAGAGGTCACTTACAGAATAGCTTCCTGAATTAAAGCTAGAACCTGTGAAAGTCTCCTGAATCCCATGAAAAGATATTTCAGGGAACCTGTCCTTTAGTAGCCAATGACAGGTCAGATAACTGAAATTCCTTTCCTAATCAAAATTATGATTTTTTTTCTTAATTCTTAGTATTTTTATTTATTTATTTATTTATTTTACAATCTCTTAATAGTGCAATTTACCTAGTGATTTAGTTTCCCTTTATTTTCATTCATGTATTCTTTGGTTTCAAAAGAGCTCTAAATTAAAATTTACTTCTCTTTTTTTACTCTTATATTGTCAACAGTTTCAGTACAAATCTGGGAATGGGGTTTGCTCTCTAACTCAGGCACCCTCTGCTGGTCTTCCCAAAGCAAAACACAAAATATTAGAATCTTCATCCACAACAATGGGTTTTCAGAGGAAAAAAAATCCAGATTTTTGTGTTTCTAAACCTTTTACTACCAGAATATAAATTACAAGGAAGACCAGTTCTAGGGCTGTAAACTCAGTGTGTGTGAAGTGTTTTAATGAATTCAAGAAAATAATTGCATAATCAAGCATGTGAACCTGTGGAATTTATCAGGCAAAAAGTCCAAAAGTGAGCATGGCCTAAGAAGCTGTTCACAGTTTGACCTGACTCTTAGCAGAAACCTGTGACTGGCATTTTAATGACATTGTTGTGTAGGGAGCTCTAGAAGCATACACTA